TACTCTACTCTACTCTACTCTACTCTACTCTACTCTACTCTACTCTATTCTATTCTATTCTATTCTATTCTATTCTATTCTATTCTATTCTATTCTATTCTATTCTATTCTATTCTGTGGAGAGGGGCAGGACATGAGAATAATAAAAGGAATGAAAAGTTGAAGCTTACTTGGAGTCACAGTCAGTTTAGTTCCACTTCCAAAGCTAAGCTTATTCCAGTTACTAGAGCTCCACAGTGGTACATTTCTTGACAAAAATTGCCCAAAGCAGGAGGACATTAAAAGGAAAGGTAGTGGAGATACTCCCCCAAATGCTTGGCTTGCCAGAAAAAGAATTTTCTTGCCAATTCGGGTCTACCTAAGCTTATATTTCTCAGCCATTCGCAGTCATTAAAATGACATTATATGAATTGTTGCACATCTAGAGCAACAAATTTTCCCCTTAGCTACATCTTCAAAATTTCAAAACTATTACAAAATCAAGGATTGTGAACTTCATGCATACAGGGGAGGATCATGGTAAAGAAAGGGAGAAAGAATGTATAGGTTTTTCAAATTCAGTTTCCATGTTTTCTTTTATTATCTAATGTAATTTATACTAAAAAATTATACTAAAAAAAAAAAAAAAACAGAGGAGGGGAGAAAACATCTCATCCAGTTCAGAGCAATGATATTGAGCCACTACTCCTCAATAACATTAAAGAGAAACCAATCTACTGAGTCTGTTAAACATACCTGGAATTATGGTTAACCTGGTGCCTTGCCCAAATATCACTTTTCTATAGCTACCTTGATCACACAATAAGGAAAGACTACAAAAATGGAATGAGAAACAGTATTTGCTCATCTCCATTCTGCAGGTTCTTAAGTGAACATTAATGAAGCCCTTGGTGAAGCTCCACCATGAGCAACATGGAGTCTCTGATCAAGTATTCAAAAATCCAAAGAACCACAAGATTGCTTCATACTTTGTTGCCATCAGATGATCATTTGGATTTTTGCAATCCAACAGCTCTAGAGATATGGTCTTTGCCTTCTCATGGCAAATACTCACAAAGTTGTTTTCTTCTACCTGAAATGATATCTAAACAAATTTGAGGGCTAATATTCACATCTCATGGTAACAATGAAGATCTCATCCTTTGGGTCCTCCTTGTCTCTTCCAAGTGCCTCCCTGAGAAAATGTAGCTAACCTGAGACTTTCTTCTTATTTTTGTTGGTCTTAACAGACATAAGAAGGAGAAAAAAGCTTGGAAGGAGTCCGAATCAACACACAACTCTATAAAAATAGATCTCTGTCACAAATGAACTACCAGATTATGTTAGAATTCCACAAAAGTTATCTTTGGAAGACTTCTTCAGAAACTCACGTGGATGAACTTTTAGCTGTCATCCAGTTAAGCCAAATTTGATGAGAAGTCACAATGGAACATAAATCATATTTATGCCAGGAGTGTCCATGTTTTAATTGTAGCAGCCCTTTTAAATCTATCCCCAAACATCATAGGCATTATGAAAAAGAGATGTACAAAATGAAATATTGCAGGGCAATTCAATTCAATATCAGGAATATATGCTCCGTTTTTTTTTCCGAGAACATTTAATTTGGTTCTTGGAATGGAATATTTAGATTATTGAGTTGGAATTCATTCAAAATGAAAATGGAAATTACAATCTATTTCCTCACAATTCCAAAATTCTGTCTCTCCTAGAGGTTTCCAGCAGATTGAAATATGGGAAGGACTAGATAGAAGTCCCAAGATTCCCAAACCTGGTCATGATATTCTCCTGCTGATAACAAAAATTGCATAGATGAATTCAATCCTTAAAAGAAGAATTTATGTTTCCATAGGCCCATTTCTATATCACTACTTAATGGAATTCACTCTCAGTGTTATGAGATAAAGGAATCAATTAAGCACATGTAAGCTTAATGCAATTGTCACTTTCTGGTATCTTGACACCTTACTTCTCACTGATTACCTTTCCTCAGTTTATTTATCATATTTACTTATCACATTTGTACCAAGACAAATTCCTTGTGTGTCCAATCACACTTGGCCAATAAAGAATTCTATTCTATTCTATTTATGTGTTTATGTCATACTGTATGTGCATAATTATATGAGTCCCCAAGCAGATACACACAAATTAAGAAAATTAATAGATAGTAATTGCAGTAGGAATGAGCAAGGAAAGGACCCTCTTGTGTTGACCACAAGGACAAGAATAAACAAATAAAACTTACTTGGCATTACAAATAGTGTAGTCCCTCTTCCAAAGATGACATTCCTGTTGCCACCAGTATACACAATGCTTTCTGCCTTAACAACAACATGTCTTCCTATTTCTATAAGCAACTATAACTTCCTTGGGAAATGATAAATCTTTAACATTAAAATATCACCTGCTTGAAATCTAATGAATCATTTGGATATGTCTTCCTATAAAATATTTTCCTTTCAGATGTTTATTCTTTGGAAATATGAAGTCACTCTGCAATTTCCATTTCCATAATTTAGACAGCTTCAAGAATCTTATTTATCCTGCAATCAATATTGTCCAAAAGTGACTCTCAAAAAGACAATCCAGCATGGAAAAAAATCTATATCCAACATTTGATTGAAAGAGCCAATATAAATTTTGAGGAATGGAGATGGCTTTGTGGACTAAGCAGTCATTGGCTTCATCTGCTCCATGTGAAAAAGCCAAAGAACAAATATTTGGAAGGTGCATAACTGAATTGGGCAGGACATGAGAAGGATAAAGGGAATAAGAAACTGAACTTACTTGGAGTTATAGCCAATTTAGTTCCACCTCCAAAGATAAGCTTATTGAAACTACTGTAGATCCACAATGCTTTCTTTCTTGGCAAAAGCTGTCCAATGCAGGGCAACATTGAAAGCAAAGGTAATGGAGATGCCCTCACAAATATTTGACTTGTCAAAGAAAGCTTTTTTCTAGTTCATATCCACCCAATGTTCTTGGTAGATTTCAAACCCCAAATATCTCAACAGTTCAGAGCCATTAAGATAACTTTAGATAGATTGTTGTACATTAAAAGCAACAGGTGTTCCTCTTAATGATGTTGTCAGCCTTGGAAGCCATATTTTACTTGGAAGCTTCGAAGCTGCCACCTTTTAGTGCCTGGGAATTTGGGAGGGGGGATTTCATAGAGCAGTGGAAGATTAGACTCAACAACATTCTTCTCATAAAGTCTAGGACAAGTCACCCTGCACCTGGAAAGGAGTGCCTGGAGGAATATGTCTAGTTGGAATGATGGTTGATTGGGCCATGTGATGGACGGGTGGGTGCAGGGGATGGGGTTTTGAATTTCAATTGGGAATGGAAAACCTGGAGCTCTTAGATTCAGGTTTTTCCAGGTGTGCCAGTATGACTTCTTTAATAAATTCTTACTTGGATGAACTTTGTTTCTCAGTGCTGAATGAAATGGGGAGTTTCATTGGAATGCTGACATATGTCCTCAACATTTCAAAATTATTGAGAAATCAAGGATGATGAAGCAGTATAGAACAGAGGATGACCATGGCAAAGCAGTATAGGAAGAAAGGGAGGGCAAAATATAGATTTCTTGATTTCTGTGCTTCTTTTCCCTCAAAGAAGGAACATTATCACCCGTAATTTA